ATATTCTTAACCATTGTTCTCTTTTTTTCGTTTATTTTAATTTTTTTTTTTTTTTTTATTGCGAAAAATATACATAATAATTTTATATATTCACTTAATCGAGATTATTTTGAAAGAAATTTTATTATTTTGTGCACTTTTTTTTAAATGAGATTTGATGTAAAAAGAACTAAAAAAGAAAAAAAAATAATTTCAATAGAAATGTTCAAAAGACATTTAGAAAGATTGAATATATATATAGTATTTTACCTGATATTTATAATATACTAAACGCAACTATCAATAATGAATCAATTATTATATTATAGAATTTTTTCGTTTGTAGGAATTAATAGATTTTGAATTTTCTATTTAGCGATATTATATGAATATATAAATTGAAAGATTAGTATTATTGTATTTTGAATGGATGCAACGATATCGAAACGAATTTGTTACTAGTTGATGAAGATTAAATGCAGCTGCTTTTTGTTTTTGTACACATACATTCATACAGATTCCGATTCATGCGCATGCGATATTTGCGCATATCGTTAAAGTATATACGCAATGTCACCTTAACGTCAATTCACGGTCGAGACAAGATCATTACGACACGTACTCATGCATATTATTCTGCGTATCAATGAAATTTTTCTTGAGTAAAATTTAATTTGTTATATTTGTTAACTTACTTACAAATTAGTAGAACATGCGACATTTTTTAAGCTTAATCAAAAATACTATAGATTGAATACTATAGATTGAATACTGAAAAACGATACGAATATACAAATGATATTCTATTTCAATCTTTATAACTATGGATTTGTTTTCTTTAACATATTTCTTGGTAAATATGATTGATGCAATATTGTATTATAATTACGAAATATTTGAAATGTAAAATTGTTTAATTTATATATAACTGAATTTCAATTATTATGGTTTACATTTAAATTCTATGGAATCATTGTTTTTTAATATGATGAAAATATGATGAAATTATACTTCTCTTTCTTTTCTTTTATTCATTATTTTTATTCTCACTTTATAGTATTTTTGTTCTATGTAAATATATATTGTAAATTCTTTTTCTTTTTATCAAATCGATTGTTCGAGAGGCTGATGAATAACGAAAAGCTGCGTCTTCCTTCAGCAATGTTCGGGAGGAACGAAAATAGTACCGTCGTTCGATTTAGACTACGCAAATGAAACGATAAAAATTTGTGTTGGATGTATGGACAACATATATTCTGGAAATAGAATATAATTCTAAATATAATTCTGAATATTTTCAAAATAAGAAAAATAAGTACTTCAAATGCATATGTTTAATATTCATACTTTAATGTTATTTTCAATAATGATCCAAAATTTCTATGCATTAATTCTTATTTTATAATTCTGTCATATGTTTCAATGTACTGAAAACTTTAAATAAATGACATCATGTGAGAAACAGATAATCTTAAAGAATAAATATATATTGAAATAATTTCTAAATACTGAATACTTCGATATTTTTAGTTATCAGAATAATGAGTTGATCATATATCATGATTGAAATCTTATATCTCAAGAATTATAATATTTATGTTCTGGATTGTTTCTTTAAAATTTATAATTTTTGAGATATATAAATAGAAATTATTATTATTATTACATTAAATTTTGCTTATATATGCGTCCATGAGAATATGCATCATTATGCAATTATTTGTTACTGTTTATATAAACACATTGTGCTCGGCATCTAAAATATATAAATAACTATAACTAGAATTTAATTATAAAAAATTTGAAATTTTTTGCATTTAAGAAATGCAAAAATAAAATATAAATCTTTAGAGAATCGAAATTATAATGATAAAAATTACGATAATCAAAGTTACGATAATAACAATACCTGCTTCACGTTTAGTACTTCATCATTATAATTTTAATTATTGTAATTTCGATTGCCCAAAAATTATTTTATATTTTGTTTTCATATTGTATAGATTCAAAAGATCTCAAACTCTTTGGATAAATATGAATTCACAGTTTTTTGTTATACATTTTAAGTATCAATCACAATGTGTTTATAAAAACAGGAAAGATAAGAAGCGATCGTATATTGATGCACACATTATCATATATGTATCATATAGGCAAAATTCAATATAAAACAATTTTTATTGATATCTTGAAAATTAAGAATATAGCAATTTTAATTATAATTATTGTAATATAAACTTTGATCAAGCTGTTACATGTTCTCTAATTTATGATGGTAATAATTAAAATAAAACTATTAGTAAAAGTTGATATATAAAATTTTTCGTGATTGTTTATATTTTGTAAACGAAAAGAAATTAGTTTTAAACATTTATATTAAATAAATTTTTAGTTAGTCAATCGAATTAATTTAATAACAATTGCTCGTGTAAATTAAATTTTAATAAAATATAAAGTTTAACAATCTCGATTAACCTACTAGTACTAAACTAAAAGTAAACATATTTGAATACTTATTTAAAATAAACATAATTTTATTATTTTTATTAATTATTTTACATTCTTCGAAATTCTACGAATTCTCATTTCGAAATGAAAAAAATGGAAAACATAAATAATCGTATCAAAACTCAAAGGATAAAGTTAATTTGTCGGTATATGAATGTAACGATGATCACTAACATACCGTATAACTTGATTCAAATATACGATTCTCTTCTGTCGGTTATCGGTATTAAACATTCACGAGAGATAGCGCCACAAGAATTCGACGAAATTGAAACTAGCGCCAACCGCAAAACAAAGTAGATGCAAATGCGTGTTTTTTGACTTTTTATGTTCCAACATTTCTTGTTGAATCTATGTATTATAAATGTAAGAGTCAAAGATCATTCACATGATATACATTGTGCACGATATCATGAAAAGATGTTTCCATTGTTTTCTTAATAACTAAAGAAGATGACGCGTAGTTATAGATCATTAACAAATTGTATCTGTATCGACTATACAATCGGTCATCGAGTTCAAAAAAAATGCGATAGTATAAAACAAACAACAAAATCATCGTTTTTAAAATGCAAACAATGAAACTATTAACTAGCTTATTTTGTATTTAACTTGTTTTGTATGTTGACAATAGATTTTCGATATCAAATACCATTGAGAAATGTTACGAATATTGAACATAATTAATTTAACAAGAAAAAAAGAAAAGAAAAAGAAAAAATCAAAGAATAAAAATAAAATTAAAAAAAAAAGAAAGGCAAAGAAATGACTGATAATCAAGTTATATGAAAAAAAAACAATGAAAGGGTGGAAAATGAAGAAAAATAAATAATTATTAAAAATAGGAAATATATCGTTATTGAAGAATAAAACGTTCACATAGAAACAATCGCTATTATTAGAATAGAATACTGAAACGATTATTTGCAAATTTAATTGCCACGCGATGTTGTACATCGTCATATATAAATTTTAAATTTTCAACAATAGAGAATCACTAATATTTCAGTGAATGTGTAATACACATGTGATCAACATTTAATTTTTGAGTGAGATATTCAAAGATTTCGGTAAATCGATAAAATTAAATCGATTTATTAGGATTTATATATACCTTATATACAATATACAAAATACAGAATGTGAATAGAGTTCGTGGAATATTTTTTATTTATATTGATAATACTGCAATTTCTTTTATTAGACTATTATTAATAAAATTTTCTATTATTAGTTCAAATTTCATAATTATATTATAGTTGTAGTCTTATAGTTTTAATAAACATTTGTGTCTAATTATTGTCACAAGTTAAACAAAATGTCTTGCAACTTTTGAAAAAACAATATATTAACATGTTATTTTTTCAAAAGATTGTGAAATATTCTGTTTCATTTAGGATGATGGTTAGAAGTCTTAAAATTAAAATTGTCGCTGCATAAGAACTATAAGTCATATAATTGTGAAATTTGAACTAATAATAAAATATGCTATCAGTAGTATAGTCCAATAGAAAAAATAATGACAGTGTTGTCAACATTACAAAACGAAAAAGCAAATTCCATGAACTTTTTATGTATCATATATGTCAAGATGCGTTGTGCACGAGCATAACATTCGCAAAAGCAAAGAGCTCACGATTTGGTCATGAAGTTCAACAGAGGTTATCAGTAATCACAGGGGTAAAAGTCATCTAATCGTCGAGTAAGAATCACGCTGTTTCTCGTTCATCGCTTTCTGTCATTGGTTCAGAACGATAATCGGTATGTGTCTCCTCCTCTTTTGGCACAATTCTCGATAAACGAATCTAGTATAAATATTCCAACTTTGAAATTTCATCCCCTTAACATAATTGACCGTTTCCTGGCGAACATTGGATTACTGTAGATTAGGTATTTGCTGTGTTAAATAATACAACACATTAGTTAATTAAATAAACGCTGTATTTTTAGGTATTTTTTTTATATCAATTGCAATAAACATTAATTATCTACGAAGGTTCTGGTAATTTTGATCATAAGTGCCCAGTGTGTGTTTTTATGAAGAAAAAAAGAGAGAAAGAATAAGTTAATCGAATAACATAAATAAGTTTAACATTTATTGATTCAGTTGAATAAATTTTTATAATTATTTAAGATATCGGATTGCTTCGTATCGAAAGTTCATTTGCGCATTATGGAATGCGAACGCGAACGAGAATGAGTAATTGAAACGAAAAGAGAAAAAACAAGAATGATAAAACAAGAAGAAAAAAAAATTGATAAGGTTAATTTTGTCTGTTTTCAGGAACGAACTGTTCTACCAAAATACTATACGAGAGTGCCTTCGGTTGCAAAATCGTCGACGAACAGTTCAGGCATCAATCTAGATTGTTCATCGAATACGACACTCGCAACAATCGCGAGTCCGTTCAACAGTCAGACAGCCCTAATCGCGGAGAAAAAAGTGATTCCTTCTAGCAATATTGTCATTGCTAACCATTACTATGCACAGAATTTAAGGAACAATCATCAAAAGACTCTAAACGGGTCTCACATATACGATCCTCTTGACAAGGGTTCTGATCACGATTACAAGCAAATCGATCCATTATTGGTCGGCGAACCTCCGTATATGGGGGTCGAAAACACCAAGCAAACTATGAGTTCGCAAAATATAAAACCGGCCAAGGACTCGGACGATGTTTTGCATACACAGTTCAAAGAAGTAAAACGATCACCTATGCGCTATAGTATGCAGGTAATTCATTTTCTTTTTTCTAATCATTTCGTTAATTATATTATATACATATATACATTATACATTATACATATATACATATACATTATACATATATACATATATACATTATATATAATTAACCATATATGCGTATAAAAAAATATCATGAGTAACATTGTGAAATCGTGTTTATATTTTTCAATTCAAGTGAAAAAACAAAGTTATACTTTGTTCGTTTTTGTTCGCGTAGAAATTTCAAGGATAATCCGAGAAAACATCTTTTTAAGCATTTAATTTATTTTCTTTCTCATTTTGCGAGAATCAAAACTTGAAACGAAATATTTGAATATTTGAATATTTGAAGTTGGAAATGATATTATCGATAATTGTCATCAAATCGATAAAATCGAAAGTTTCGTGATTCAAGGGAATCTTGCGTGATGATTGCGCGATGCAGCAGATCCCGAAGCTTCTTGCCCTCGATGCTTTTCTTTCTCGCGTGAATCAAATGCCATGCGTGCCTCTCCGCCCTGTCGTTTGAGCTAAACTTGAGGGCAACGTGATCTTCGTCTTTACGACATCCATGTTGCGCGCGTGTGCACATGTATGTACATGTATTTATTATCGTTACGCAAACAACAATACGCGACAATAACATCTTCAATGATATAATATTATGAAAGCATACAAAAAAAAATGCGATCTTAAATCAATCGATTTTCAATCAAAAGATAGATAAATTTTTAGTTCATATTTAAATATTTTATGAAACTCAATATGTTCAAAACATTGATTAAACGTAGTTCGTAATTTATCGCAAAATTTCACTTTAATCGCATTTTCATAATTAATATCTTCAGTTGCAATTGAATAATGCCCAACTAAGAGCAAACTGAACTTATGTTTATATATATTATCTGTTCGGATCCGACATTAAATAATACGACTCAGACATGACGATATTTCTTTAATATAATATTTATACTATTCGATTCCAATAACATAAGATATTTGTCAAATATATTATATACTACACAATAGTACATATACGCATACAAGATCATTTTCTGAAGTTAGAATCTGATTTTATTTTAAGATATTTGATTAGAGTGTGATTGTTATTATGTTATCTTTTATATTTTTATTATATTTTTTTCATTTATGACTTCTTTTTTGAAATTATATGAATTTTGAATAATAAGAAACTGACAAAATAAAAATTTTTTTATAATTTTCAATTATTCTCATTTTATTTAATATAATATTTATAATTATCACATATATATATGTATGTAATATATGTATGTAATATATATATATAATATATATTATAATTATAATTATAATAAAAAATAATATATAATTATTATATAATAATCATATTAATAATATTATATAATATTATATAAAAAATAATATAAAATATTATGTTAATATTATAATTGTCAACTTGCTGATTATTTTTTCTCATTGATTTTTGTGAATGAATTTTAATGAATTTTAATGAATTTGAAATATATTGTAAAAAAAATGATTTTAATAAACTTTTATTTCGATTTTTTTATAAGTGGTTTTAGATTTTAAATTATTTGCAAAAAATTTTTATTGATTTTTATAATATTATCATTGAATTTTATCTGTACACATGCATTCATGATATAATCAATATGCAATTATTAAGAGCGAATAATAATATATATACATACATAAAATGAGTAAATTCATCGAAAATTTACTTCCTAAATTTACTTCCTTTGAAAATAATTTTTTTTAAGATTTTCTTCTTTTCTTGACATAATTATATACAAGATGTTAATACATATATTTATGAGATACTTTTTGAATTTTAGAATTCTAATTCTTTGAAACAAATATAATGATTGATATACAAAAATATCAATTGAGATTTATTTATTAAATTATAAATAACTTATAAATAACTAAGCTCGTTTTAAATAAAATAATACTCTATTTTCTATCTTTATTATTGCTGTCTTGTTCTGTTTCTGCCTCGTTTTATTTAACAAAAATTTAAATTACTTATAATTTAATAAATAATTCAACAGTTAATAAATATTTCAATCGACATTTTCGTATCAATTCTTGTTTTGATCTCTAGAATCTATTCTATTCTAAATTAAATTATTTTAAATTATATTCTAACTTATTTCAAATTCATTAACATTAGTGAAGAACTAAAATTAATCGGCAAATTGACCAAAGAAATTTGAAAATTATTGAAGTATTAAATATAAAATATTTATTATATAATATAATTAAAATATTATATAATATAATTATATTATATTAAATATTAAATAATATAATTATAATACAAGAAGAAATAATATGAAAATATATATATTGAGTCCTCTATAGTATATATTATATATGCTAATCTGTTGTCAAATGTTTATTCAACGAAATATTGTTATTGATAGTAATGATAGATATTTGTCGATTAAACAAAACATCTAATATACTATATGAATTTGATTTTTTCCAAGAAAATTCATCGTAATAAATTATTTTATAATACATCGCATCTGAACGAGTATAAATTAACTTGTACCGATTGGATTGAAGATGGATATATGTATAATATTTTCATCTGATTACATGCGAGAATATTTGTCTGAGTCGTGACGTTCATTGTCGCATCGGATAATATAAACGTAACCTAAATTGGACTGAAGAGTAAATGAGGAAAATATGGGATGAGATGAGAAGAAATATATCTATCTATGAGAAGGGCATGTGAGTGAAGAAGAATGCAAAAATGGAGCAGGTGCAAAAACGGAGAATGGAAATGTTGATCTCTCGCTTGTTTTGTGGTCGATTCATCGAAAGAAACAATTGCGAAAAATAAAAGACGAATGTATGCATTACATGCGTGCATATACATTTGTACTCAACTATACTGACCTTGTATATGCTTCTGATAATAACTAACGACTTAATTTTCTTCCACGTACATCATTGACGTATAGACTCGAGATGTTTGTGAACCATATTAAATAATTAATAATGATAAATGACACGAAAGAATTAAAATTGAATGATAGATAGTCACGAATTCTATCATTGATTTTTTTTTGATTCTCTAATAATAATCTCTATCATTACAAACATGAATGCGAATGGATATAGCGATGGGAAGTTCAAGTTGAAGTTTACAAATGTGCCATTCAATTGTGTACTTCAATTTGTTGAAATAATTATATAATTCAAAACTTGTAGCCTTTTACGTTTTAGAACGTTAATTTAAAATATTTAAATTTAATTTAAAATTTAATGAAGAGTTTTTCAAATACTTTTAAATTAAAATTATTATTTTTATATGTTATTATAAAGAAAAATTTAGAAATCATGATTTTTGTTTTATATTGTCGTTACAGCGAAGAAATGATATATTCAAAATTGTACAAGTGTTTACTATACATTCTATCGTGTCAATCATAAAAAAAAAAAAGCATAACGAATTCATCTTCTTAAGTTTATGAAACGGAAAATAATGAAACGAAACGAAACGAAAAATGGCAATATTTCTTTGATCATGAATAAGAAAAAGAAGAGCAATGCGTGTCATGCTTCAACAGAACATTACGCAACGCGAAAGAAGGTCGCGAGCGGTAAGATCGGTTGATCATATAACAACGCGATTCTGTCGCGAAGACAAGCGACTATTTTTCGAAAATACAGACTTTTTAAATATTTTTTTCAATTGCAATTTAAATATAAGAAAATATGATTTATTTATAATCAACTTTGAAAGGAAAAAGTTTTCCTCCCGATAACTCTTTTCATCCATTCTCTTTCTTATTGCTTTCTGTACTAAACGGTCTCTCGAAATTAACTATATGTCGTCCAGTAATGGCACAAGTTACGTTTACGCGTAGAACCCCGCGTACGCAAAGTCGCGCGCATATATACGTTTATACGTATAATCGTCCGATTCGCGGACGATGGATCTTCGCAATGACAAGAGAAGGGATAGTCGCGGCCCCCCAGCATCGTTTCCCTATATAAACAGGGAACCACCCGTCGGTCCACAAGTGCCAATAGCGTTTTAATCTTACGGGAACGTTGTTAACGTTAACAAAACCAATTGGCGACAAAATCACGATAAAATAACAACGACAACGTTGACAACGAAAATATCGATATCGATAGTAATATCATCAAAATTGGTACCAGCAAGAAAAAGAAGAAAAAGAATAATAACAACTATAGCATTAGAAATAACATTTGATATAAGAAGGACGCGAAATTAATAATACGGTGAAAGCAAATAATCGATAAATACGCGTATTGAAATCGAAAAATTTTGAATTTCTAATTAAGAAACGATTTGATTTGGTGTATCAAATAAAATTAAATCGATATTGATCGGTGCGCACGCGCGTTCGAACGGTGTATTCGTTTAGTTCGTTATACATATCGTGATTCGAAACAAAAATCGAGCGGTTAACGTATAGGCGAAAATCGTGCTACGATCGTAGAATTGTTTTTCATCTCTTTGGCGTTACAACGTGAAGCTTTCGCCTGTTATTTCTATATCTCTTCTTCGATCAATTTTCATCTTGTTCCTATATTCTTATCGATCATGAAGATTTTTATGCGAGCTGATACTCATGTGGACATCGAATTACCGGGCAACGCGCCAGTTGCTAAATGCACCCCTTCTCAGGTATCGACAACGGCATTGTGTACTTTATATAGAAATTGATGCTTCATTTTATTCATATGATCTTAAGTGTATAACCACTCTCTTCTTTTCGTCCTTCATTCATTCTTTTTATTATTGTATATTATCACTGTTCGACCTTTGTTTCGTATTGAATATCGGTCGAGATTTTTACCAGATCTTATTTAATTGACTTCGCTTCATAAACATCACAAGTATTATGATTCTCGAATTTTGGCCATTTATAACAATTTTGATTTCTAAT